CACTGACGAGTCGGTGTACAGCGGAACCTTTGTGAGATTGTATTACAAAACGAGTTTGCAAAAGAAGTGTTTCCTGTGATTTCTTGGACGGAGCAACTCTGCTGACGAGCCCTTGGGTCGAAGGATCATCATTGGAATTTGGAAGGAAGGATGACGATAGAGTTGGAACTTGGCGGACGATATCCGTTTAGGCATCAGTCATTAGGGAGGTTTTAGGACGGTTTAGGGTTTAGGGGTTTGAGGTTTAGGGTTGAGATTCGAGAGGTGAAGGATGATGACGGATTTGGGAGGCGCCCTTGGTTTAGGTATCAGGCATTAGAGGCTTTAGGGTAGAGGCCCTTGAGGGTTGAGGGTTGAGGCCCTTGAGGGTAGGAATGCAGCCCCCATCTTTTTAGGCCCAGTATTGGAAGATAAGATGAGGAACTCCAAAGATGGGGCTGGTTTAGGCCCTTAAGCATTAGGGTTTAGGCATTAGGGTTCAGGCTTTAGGGTTTAGACTTTAAAGGGGGGAGGGCGCGGAGGGGGGCCGAATAGAAGAGATCATGGTGGTGCCGGTTTATTTGTTTATGCTTTAGGGTTTTAGTAGGTGTTTTTTTTTGGGTTAGCATGTGAACGTTAGCCATAGACATAGTCTCTCTGGGAAAGAGCACACGCTGCAGTACTGGGTGGGATAGCATCCTTTCTTTTTTTTTCTTTTTCTCTTTTTTTCCTTGTGACGAGATAGCATCTTGCTATCTTCTGGCAGTTGAGACATGACCAATGAGAGGGATCTTCACCACAACGGCAAGCAGTTGAGCAATGCTGCAGTGCCCAGATGCATTTTGTCCACACTTTTGTAATTTTTTGGTGGTATGATTTTTGCATAACGCAGCAGCACTTTACTTTTTCCTTTTCAAGTTTGTATCTTTCTCTGCCGACAACACACAATTGCACTTGGGACTTGAAATTAGTGTTTTTTTTTTTTTTAATTAGTTTTTCCTTCTTTTATTCTTGTACCAAAAAAAAAAAAAATCATGCTTGTTTTTTTTTTTTTTTTTTTTTTTTTTGGGTAGACGGCCATCGAAATAGGAAAAGGCAAAAAGAAAAGTGCTTCCAGCGTACCAGAGAACAGACGTGATGAATTCCCAACCCACCTCGATACGAACCTTGTTTGAACAGATGGGAGGGTAATCAAGAGGAGGTCTGGGAGGTTGGATGATGCTGTTGACTTGCTTTGAACCGACCTCGACGATGAGAGAGTCGCTTGTGCTCTTCGTCATGTCTGGCATATCATTTTTCTTCGGGACCATTTTGTCCGCCCCCGACCCTTTGCCACCTCCCCCCCCCCCCCTCCCCCGCCCGCCTGCCCCCGACGATGGTCAGCTATTTCATGTCATTTCTCTTCTCGTTTTGCTGCTAGAGATAGGGGAATAGGGCTACCTAGCAGCTATCTCCTACGTCGTCTGTTTCCTTCTTGTCCTCTGTCGTCCTGAAGGAGGGGCCTATCGCAACAAAAGAGAGTGACTATCTTTTACGCTCCGAGGACCGAAGACAAGATGGCTGATCAAGGTGCGTCTCTTTCTCTCTCTCTCTCTCTCTCTCTCTCTCTCTCTTTCTCTCTCTCTCTCTCTCTCTGTCTCTCTCTTTCTCCATGTGCCCTATGGCTTCGCACTACCAAGCGATTTGGAGTTGCTCCGTCAAAGAAATGCCAAAACAAAAGAGGAGAGCACACATCGTCAATCCAATGACCATTTGCCTATAGTTTAAGAGGGCGGGTTTTCATGGGCTGTCGAGGAGGGTTTGAGGGATTGCGTTGCTGATCGTAAAGGTTAAGCATGCAAGAGTCACAACGATCATGATGAGAGAGAGAGAGAGAGAGAGAGAGAGAGAGAGAGAAAGAGAGGTCATGCTGTCGACAGGTTTGCTTTCTGCGGGGCTGAAGTCGGCCCTGCCGGTCCAACCCATCAACACTCGATCTGATCAATCAAAATAATCAATCATGGAGTTGCTCCGTCAAAGAAATGCCAAAAAAAAGACTTCTCAACCCCTTCCTCCTCTTGATTACCCTCCCATCCCACTTACTCTTGTAATTCCCCTCTCGTGTACTGTCGTGCTCAATTGCGTACCCACACAAGAGGTTAACGGGGCATCTGGTTTTCAGGCCTGCAATTTCTGAAATTAGGGTTTTGGGCTCAAATTTCATGTTTTTTTGGAATTTCAAGTTTTTGCTATATATGCATTTTGATAGGTTTGCCGTATATGAAATTTGGGGTTATTTGGAGTTTTAGAATTTGCGCTATTAAGATTTCTGAAATTTCTGAAATTGGTCGAGTTTTTTTTGGGCCAAATTTCATGGAAATGCACCTTTGGCTTGCTGTTTTATATGTTTTTAATTGCTTTTTTTAGGGGGTTTTTCTGTGATGGGGTCGTAAGAAGTGCACTCTATAGATTGGTGTGAAGTGTTGTTAAAATGACTGTCTGGTTTTCTTATAAATGGGCCTGAAAAATGGGTGCTTGGTTAACCTGCTCTCCCCTCCCTATAATTGCTTAATTACCCTCGCACTTGCTATCACCCTCTCTCTTGACTACACTCCCACATACTCATACTCTCTTGAACACCCTCCCACATGTGGTCACACTCTCTTCAGTACCGTCCCACATGATGAATAACACTCGTCCTTTTCCTACTTGTCCTCTTTCGTCCTGCTCTTCTTTCTTCACAAACCCTTCTTTCCTGATTACCCTTCCACTTACCCTCTTGATTATCCTCTCAATTGCGTACCCACCCTCCCTATAATTGCTTGATTGCCCTTCCACTTGTTGTCATAGTGTCTCTTAGTTACTCTTCCACATACTATAATCTCTCTTGATTGCCCTCCCGCATTCTGCCACACTCTCTTGATTACCCTACCCTCCCACAGTCTGTCACACTCTCTTGATTACCCTCTCACATGCTGTCACATTCTCTCGACTACCCTTCGCGATATTCCGTCGATCTCCCTCCCACCTACTTTCTCCACTTCCTGTTGTCCTTTTTCTTTCATCCCCTCCCTTTGTCTGCCATACTCTTTTTTTAATGAAAGGCTGATGATTGAACCCACCATAGTGTTATCCTCCTCCTCCTCCTCCTGCTGCTGCTGCTGCTGCTGCACCGCATCCTCCTCGCTATCTTCCCCTCCCTTAGCTGTCAATCCCATCAATCAAAGCATTTGGCTCAATAGTGATGTAGAGTGCCCCTCCGCTAATAGCTGCTGGATGTTAACCCACCATCTTGCTCTCCTCTATTTCTTATCTCCTCCTCCTCATCCTCCCTGTCCTCCTCCTCCTCCCCTCCCTTGCTGTCAATCCTACCAAGCAAAGCATTTGGTTCGATGTTGACGTAGAAAGCCCCTCTGCTAGTAGCTGCTGGACATATTCATGGCTCATGGCACTCCTCCTCTTTATCTCCTCCGCTTCCGTCCTCCTCCTCGTCATTTTTCCCTCCCTTAGCTGTCAATCCCACCAACTAAAGCATTTGGTTCAACGTTCACGTAGAAGTAGAATGCCCCTCTGCTGTAGCTGAAATCACCGAAAATGACACCACCTATTAACCCATGAGTGTGGGCTTGTGGTGCAACGTCCAACCGTACGTTGATGCTTTGACGGCATCCAGGCAGTGCCGGTGGTGATCGCTTTTGCTGTTATATACTCGGAATGCGGATTGCGAAACCACCACACCCTTTTGTTTGTGAACCATACATAACAAACAGTGGAAGTCGCCTTCGATGGCCCTCGTTTGGTGCTTTTTTGGTTCCACGGACTTTTTTGTTTTTTTGAAGTTTTTCCCGAGCTTATTAGATGCTCTCATCGTGAAATGGGATTCCAATTTCCAACTACGTAAAATTGGCGAGGCCGCGGAGAAGTCCGATAACTTTCATTTTGAATTGAATGTCGTGCAGGCACAGAGGCACCCATCGCGATCGGCATGCAGACAGGCGCCGATCGCTGAACCGCCATGTCTTCCAACTCCCTCGTCTTCATCCTCACGCTTTTCAAAAACTTTTCATGGGCAAAATATATGGTCCAGACTCCAAAGGGCTACATAGCCCTTTGGAGTTATGGCCAACTTTTCATGGGCCCCCTTTGGAGTCAGGACGAAAAAAAAAATAAAAAAAAATTTGCAAAATATTTGCCCATGATCTAGGCTACCAGACGGGCCGCCCGGGTCCCGGTGGCCAGCCCGTGCAAGGACCAGGGAAGGTCCCAGCAAAAAAAAAAAAAAATCAAAAAAATCCGAAAAAAAAGTATGTTATGCAGAAAAATAAACTGAACAACTTTTGCCTCAGGGTCACATCGAAATTCTGCACCAAATTTAGAAAAACAAATAATTTTTAAAAATAGTTTTTTATTTTTATTATTTTTATTATTTTTGGCCCGGCCGGGCAAGTGACCCCGGGCCACTCTGGTAGCCTAGCCCATGATGATGCAAACGTCGTGTCAGAAGAGCATTACCAGGGCTACACAGCCCGGGCCGCCCGGCCGGCTGGGTTACCTGGGTAAACCTGCATGGGGGTGGCCCGCGCAGGGTACCCAGACGACACCAAACGGGGGGTCTTTTTTTTGTTTTTGTTTTTGGCAGTGGGGAAATTTTGCGCCCACTGAGATGTGCCCAAATTTGGCCTTACTTCATGGAATTTGCGTGATGTCTCACCAAAGGGTGTCTATGGGGTATCAGCGGGGTTTGAAGGGCTCAAAGGGGTTTAACGTCCCTTTAATGGGGTGTGATTTTTTTTTTTTTTTTTTTTTTTTCGGATTCCATAACGAATGTCAGGGTGCCCCTGAGCCAAAAGATGTTTGATTCGTTCCTCTGCATGACATAATCTTTTCCAGTTTTTTTTTTTTTTTTTTTGCACAGTACCGGGACTTTGCTCGGACCTGGCCCAGCCGGGCTAACCGGGCCAATCTGAGGAAACCCTGGCGGTGTGGGTGGTAACCCAGGTCTGCAAACATTTATGACAATTTTAAATCTAACGAACATATCACTCTTGGTACACTCCGATATAATATGTTGTTAGACACTTTTTTTCTGTTTTTTTTTTTTTTTGCCATGGAGGCGTGCCTTATAGTGAAAGCATCACCACCTGCAGGTCGGGAGCACCCCCCACCTTGCGGGCAGCGGGGGACCACCACCCGCTGCCCGCAAGGCACTTGCAACGAAAATCAAAGCAGACTATCACTCACCCACAGCAGACGGAAGACTCTACAGACTGCAGGTTCACACCCCATCGCAAGCCAGCAAAACACCCACCAAACCAAAAAAAGGAAGTCTGGGAACGACAATGGTAAAGAACTTAAAGAAAAAGCATTTTCGTTTTCAAGCTCTAGACATTTGCGTAATCTCCCACTCTTGCCCCCACTACCATCCAGCAGCCTCTGTAGGCACCAGCTTCCACCTGCAGACAGACAGACAGACAGACAGACAGACACAATCAAATACGATATTAAAATGACCGTCTGTTGTTCTTGGAAACATCCGTTAAAATTTGCAAGATAAAGACAAAGACCATCAGCATGCCCCTTGCACGAGGATTACACACACACAAAAAAAAGCCCTTCAGCCACTCCTGCGCTTTGCCACATTTTCTTCTCCTCAAGTTGTCATTTTCTTTCCTTATTTTCTAAACTTATATATATATATATATATATGTCCTCTTCTCTCTCTCTGCCTACGGTTTACCGGGCAGTTCTGTTTGTGACGATATATATATATATCGTATATATATATCATCAAACAGAACTGCATTCGGGAAACTGTAGGCAGAGAGGGAGGGAGGGAGAAGAGGACAACAAACGAGGCGCTGTGACAAACTGTTTCGTCGGGGTTTCACCGACTCATCAGGAGGTTGAACCCTATATATTATTAATTTATTCTACATATCTGTTTGACGATATATATATATATATATATTGTGACAATATATATATATATATGAAACAGTTTGTCACTGCCCCTCGTTTGTTGTCCTCTTCTCCTTCTCCCTCTCTGCCTACGGTTTACCGGGCAGTTCTATTTGTGACGATATATATATATATATATATATACAGACTGTTGAGGGTTCAGCCTCCTGATGAGTCGGTGAAACTCCGACGAAACAGTTTGTCACAG